ACGTCCTGACGAGTTCGCGCCACTCCGGTCCAACTCTCCGGTCGTCGTTGTCGTTTTTGGCCGAGCGCTGAGCGAGCGCCGAGGTTTGTACCTCTACCTCCACCTCCGCCTGAGACCGAGAAGGCTTCGGGCGACTCCAGACCGAGGGTGACGAAACGAACACCACGTGGTGATGGCGTTTGGGAGATTCTTGGGGTTGGGGGTGAAAACTGGAGCACATTTGCAGAAGAACTCATAGCTAACACCAATTCCCAGCTTTTTCATATGTTACTTGTACCTCGAGTTTCGTGTTATACTTTATGCTATCCTCTCAAGCTGGACTTGCAGAATGAATGCGCCTGTGACTTCTCAACCTGAGGAATTCCATGTTGCTTTTCAGGTGCTTCTAGCTTAGACACAAGCCTCACTGCTCATGTCACATGTCTTGCTTCATTGATATACACCGAGAGGGTTGGGGCCTTCTACCTAGTGAATCCAGGCAAACCATGGCGTTTGCCACATGGCAAACCACAGTGGTTCCAAAAACGCTTAGAACCCTGGTTCCTTCGATTCTATACGGTCACTGCCAGTCACTGGGTTAATACACTGCCAGTCACTGAGCTTCGGAAGATCGGCCACGCGAACGCGGCACAGGTGCGGGAAGCCTTTGCTCCTGGGCGAGATGCCTTGAGGCGAGGAAGCTGAACAAAGAGGTGGACAGTTGGTCAAGGTTGATTGAAGGATGGACACAGTTGGCAAGCATCAACCAAGAAGATCCAAGAACAATTTGACAAACGATGCCCAAGATGGGGTGCATGTTCATATATATATATATATATGTATGTTCTAATTTCTTGGCGATGGCAGACTATTTGCACGCGGCTTTGAAGCCATTCATTGCCTGAATTGCCGTGGACAACACCAAACAACGCTTAGTTCTACATGACACGGATCAGATCAGAATCAATGAGGAAGCGGTGTTTCATCCAACTTCCTTGTTAAACATGTTGGTGGAGGGGAATGAACATGGTCACTAGCTTCCTCGTTCATCCTCGGCAACTCCCAGGAATCCTCTGAAAAGACTGGGGAGTATCAATTGGACATGTCAATCATTTCGTGTATTCTCCGGACCTGGGGAGAACTCCCAGCTGATGATGAACTCGATTCGCTTATTCTGTGTGCGCATGCTTTGGCAGCACAGCGCCAGGGCGTCGCAAGGGCGAATGTCAAGGAAGCCAGGAGCACAGTCGCTTTTAAAGACATGGCGGGAAGACAGCGGCGTTTGTGCCGAGAACACTTGGTGTCAAAAGACTTCTGCTGTACGATGAGTGGACACCATCAATCTATTTGGATGACCCTAAGCACTCCTTCCCTGCTCAATGTGTAGCCATTTGGTGGGCGAAGCCTTGGATTGGAGGACCATTATTTTGGGGTCTGTTCGGTCAGGCAAAGCTTCATGACATGAATCCGCCTAAACTCGCCCTGTTTCTTGTAGGATCTTTAAATTCCAATCTACTCGTAGTCGAACACTTGGCTTTCTCATGCTTTCTCTGTCTGAGGGTGTTACCTGGAGAGTCATTGTGCACAAATACGCAACTCAGACCCTTGAAACGCACTTCAGTTGAACCGCTTCTTTGTTTTGTTTCTTTTGAATGCAGGGTTTTGAAGTCTAAGGGGTCCAGGTCTGTGACCGGTCAAAAGCCTGCCGGCCCCGCACCGGCAGCCCCGGGACCCCAACCGGGGACCCTTGTTTGGTTGATTAGAGTATAATTAGAGTCATTTTGGGGGGATTGCCCCACTAGGTCGTACAACTCGTAGGTCATACCAATGTGAGTTGACATCTGTTGCGCCGGCCCCCTCGATTTGCCAAATAACCTCGGACCACACCTGGCTCCCTCTGAGGTGCATGAAGGTGGCCATCTCAGTCACCGCCTGATCTTCGTCCGTTTCGTTTCGCTTCTCAGGAACCATGGCCTGCTAATGCTGCTAGTTCAGATAGCCGCTAGGTTTGGCGATTCTTGGACTGATCCCCAACCGGTGAATGTTAAGCATGCCTCTTTACGGATTTGATTGCGCAGAGGATGGCGCAGAGGATGACTCATGTATCATCAGGTATCGTTATTCCTTTTATGTTCAGAGACAGTGATTTGTTGTATCGAAGTGAAAAGACCCTGCATACTCTATAGGCCCATCACACGGGTTCCCAACACCCGCAGTACATACAGAGTCGGGGGAATATCACGTTCGAGATTGTTTTGTGGAATCATGTCATGGTTTGATGCGATGACTCTGAATGATATCACCAGATATCAACTCTGGAAACATGTCGCACCGTGGCAGTTCTCCGGTCGGTTACGAAGGGAGTTCTTTCGGACTCCACTGCCAGGAGGGCGACACACGGACCTGTGAGGCGGGGCAAACAGTGGACGACTGGGCTGTCCGTGGCCAGTGACTAAGAAACGTGAGGTACATCTCCTTTACAAGTTCTTGGAGCAAAAACTCAGGAGTTACATAAAATTTCCTTCAATACCTGAGATTGATCAAAAGGATGCGGCCCTTACAGATAGGTTTTTGGAGTACAGCCGCTTCCAGCTCCACAAGTAGCTTTCTGTGAGGAAGATTGGCGCTGCTTTGCTCTTGAGAAAGGAACAAGTCTGGACCAATTTTTTAGTTTCTCAACATGCGCTTGTTTGAGGATGGTTTCCCCAAATCACAGCTACCGGTTACCAGCAAGAGGACACACCTATCATGACCTCAAGAACATGCAGCACATGCTTCAGTGTATTGAAGCATGTGCTGTTTGACTTCTTCTTCGCTCTTCGCCACATCCCATGTCCATCACATGCCGAGAACGGCCAGGCCAACCCTTGGGCACCGCGGGGAGCCAGGCGGGACAGCGATGGATTTGGACTCAGCCCATGGATCTTGACTTATCCCCGAAGTACCGCACGAGTCCAGCCAACACATTTCTATAGTTTCAGCACCCCGGCAGAAACTATAGGCTGTAGGACTAATGGTATCTTCTGGTTTGTTTTTTGGTCGGCTTAGGAAGGTGAGTGAGGGTCTCACAAACTGGACCCTCTGAAGATACTGCTGTTTGATAGACAACTCCTAGCAACAACCCAACGTTGGGTAGTTTCTCCTGAAAATGCCTGTCAATGACCCAGCAATATGAGCGGTGTTCTGCGACATCTGTCAGGGCGCGGATGGCGAAGATCCCCAGACAAAGGCGAGGGTTCCGCAGCGAGGAAGTTGAGGGAAACTGCTAGAGTGGGAGAAGGCCCACGGACGTGTTGATTGCAAACCGTTTTGCCACATTTGTGCCAGCGGGAGGTCAAGATGTGCAATGATGGTCAAGCAGCTGGTGGGTGGGTGGAGAATCCCATCGGAGTAGGGACAGGCTTCAGCTCCTGGCCGAACTTGGACCAGGCATGATCCCTTTCGCCCCCCGGTCGCCCCGGTCTAGGCGACAAGCGCGCAGCGCGCCGCGCCTGAAACGGCCCGGAGACCTGGCGACGTCAGTCCACCGGGTTGGTTGTCAACACGAAGGGCACGAGATCGTCAGACCAACGAGCGAGCGAGCTCACTTTTGCAGCAGGAAAATCAAGAAACACTTAACGTAGTATCTTAATGCTAGACTCTTGATGCATTGAACGTGTTTCACCTCTTCCGGGGGGGAGTTTTTTTTTTTTTTTTTTCACATGGAAGTATCATCAAGAGATATCAAGAGTCTAGCATGAGTCTACATATCTCTTGGTTGAGCATGGAACTGATATATCAGTAAACTCATCTAAGAGATATCAAGAGTCTACACAAGCACTTCCACTGCGTCTCTGGACCGACGACTGGTGCGAACAAAGGGGGGCAGCGATGCTCACCGGAGTCATCGCCGGTCTCGGAGCATGTGGGAGGGAGATGCCGAGCCGAGCTGTGTTTTGCGATAGGTCCTCATTTTAATAGAGAAGGTGAGAGGCTGATGTATAGACGACCCACTGACATTGACCACATATTTTTGGTTCCCATGGTTTCCAATGGGCATACAACCTCAGAATCAACGTTCTCAGCTCGGGAAGAATCGGCTTGGTCGGCTTCCTGAGGTCCTCCGCGAGTCCATCTAAGGCAGGGCCATGGAAACCCGTCAGGGCCGGCCCACGGTCTGAGACACGATCTGAGGGCAGGGATTCTTGAATCTTTTGGTTTTGGTGTGCAGTTGCTTGATCCATTTTCATTATATCATTATATACAGATACATATAATTTGATTTATGGCCTATTTTTGTGATGTTTTTTGCATGACTTGAAGTGAGTCACAGACTAGCAGCTCTAAGCTTTGACGTTCTCTATTGTTTTGTGATTGAGCCTACTCTTTGCTTGGAAGAAGCAAAGCTGGGACTCAGCTGCGCAGTTTTCTCTTGTTGGTCTGCAACACTCAAGATCAATGATGAAAGATGATCAAAGTACATAACAGTCCATTCATTCCAAAGTGAAGAATGATGCTTGAGTTTGGGTTGGTTCAGATTGATTGGTGACCGCGGCCTTTTTACCTTACAGGCCTTAAGCCATTTGATGTCGCTACGCATTTTGAGCGGAAAGAGTGCCTTTTGAGCTTTCACAGTGGTAATCGGAGCTTGAAGATCCTTGCGGTTGAGCATTGCTGGCTTGATCCGCCTTTGGGTGGCTTGATTGTTGGCCCTGAACTCCGCGTGTGCTTGATTGGTTGAGTTGGAAGTGTTTGGTGGTGGGCAAGCGCTCTGAGCCCAGACTGCTCCTACAAAACCGGAATTCGTTGGTGAACTTTACATTGGGCTGGCTAAGCCATACATTGTTGGGTTCACGACATTGCACATTACATTGGTTGCTGCATACATTGCTAGTTGCTGTTGACCGCTTGTACGTTGTGCATTGACATCTTTTGCATTGTGCATTGCCCGTTGGTTGCATCGCTTGTGACATTGGACATTGTACGTTGCCTTTTTGCAGTTGACACCTTAGTTGTTTCATCCTCGCATTTTGCGAGGAACCATGGCTGATGAAGAAAAAGGATCATCTGCTTGGTACAAAGTTCCTACATGGGATGGGAACCCTTCGACCTTCCGAACCTTTCAAAGGGAGATGAGTTGGTGGATGGCGTCGATGGACGCATCGTCGTGCACCAAATACAATGTTGCAGCTCGTTGGACATTGCGCCAAACAGGCATCGTTCGAGCTCGATGTGAAGAGTTCACTCCCGAAGAATTGGCCGGGAAGACTGAAGTGAGGGGTACAGACCCATCATCTGGCGAAGAGGTGGTCCTTGAAGAGGCAGACCCTTGGTTTGGCATCCGCAAACTTATGAAGGCTCTTGAAGAGAGCATGGGAAGGACCATCCTCGATCGAAAAGGTGAACTTCGACGCCAGTTTTACCAAGACCTCAAACGAAACGCTGGCGAGAGAATCAGCACCTTTTGCACCCGCTTTCGAACGCTTGTGTCGGAGATGCGTCGAGAAGGCATTACATTGCCAAGCGAGGAGTTGGGTTGGTTCTTGCGAAATCGCTTGGGGCTCGATGCAATTCGAGTCCAGTTGCTTGATACAGCGTTGAGGGGTCGTGAATCCTATGAGGAAGTTGAAGCTGAAGCATTGAGACTCTTCCGTGATTTGCATAGTGAAGATCCTTTGCATCGGAAGAGCGCCACTGATAGATCACCATTGCTCAGCCGCTTCCTCAGCCAGTCTCAGTCGGGAGCCTCATCTTACAGAACCTCACTCCCCTCCAGCGGTGGTTCATCGTCCTTTGGTACTCGGTCGTACAGGTCGTCGTCGGTTGGTGGCAGTTCACAGAAGAGTTTTAGACAACCTCCCAAGCCTCCACCTCCACGAAGTGCCATGGTCGCTGAAGGGCTTGCTGACGAAGTCCTTGAAGGCGAAGACGATGAAGAGGAGTTGGTTCCAGATCAGCCAGAGGCCAATGCAAGTGGCCTTGAAGAGGTTTTGACGGCGGAAGCCGAAGTGTTGGCGGCAGAGATTCAGGCTCTTGAGGAAGAGGGCATGGAACCTGACGTGCTGGAAGCCCTAGAATGTGGAGTCGAACAAGCCGCTGAGTCGCTTGTCACAATGCGTGAGGCTCGCCATAAGATTGCCGAGATCAAGAAGGATCGAGGATATGGAAAGCCTATGAGCCAACCTGCAAAACCTCGATTCACAGGCAATCAAGTCAATGGCAAGAAAGCCAAGTCGAGTTGTTGGGATTGCGGCCAGCAAGGCCATTGGAGTGGAGACCATGGTTGCCCAAACCCTGGAGCAGGACTCTACAAGCCCAAGAATAGCAATCCCAAGCCTCAGAAGCAAGTGCGTGTGGCTGAAGCTTTGACTACAGAGCTTTCCGCTGACCCCACTGCACCTGCGGATGAAGCTCATGAAGTGTTGACATTGTCTCGCGTGAGTCGTCCATCCACGTTGTCGGAAGCCTTGCGCCAGTCGAACGAAGTCCATGTGAGCCAGTTGGCCTCCCTATCCATGGACAAACGACTGATGGGTGCCTTGGATTCAGCTTGTAACAGAACTTGTTGTGGAACAGCTTGGTTGGATCATTACCTCACCGCACTCAATGCCGCGCCCCAGGAGATCAAATGCTTGGTTCAACAATGCCCTGAGCAGGAGACATTTCGTTTCGGTGACGGCGGCACACAGAAGAGTTCTTACAGAATCAGGTTGCCGATGGTCATTGGGACAGATTTGGTCCTCACTTGGGTATCCATCATTCCAGTTGAGAGTTTGGGACTACTTCTGGGACGGGATCGGTTGGATGGAGTTGGTTGCGTGTTGAGCTTTTCCAAGAAGATCATGAGGGCTGATCATTTGTCGGGCAAGCACATTTCTTTGCACCAGTTGACGGCAGGACATTTTGCATTGCGATTGATCCCTTCGGAGTGGCCCAGGCCTGGTTCCCAGCGTTGGCGTCGGGTTGGACAGGATGGGGTGGTTGCATTGCAGATTGCGCATCACGAGTGGTTGCAAAGAAAGCTTCTGGCAGTTCAGTTTGTTGGAAATCCTCACCACGACCCCAAGAGCCATGAGCATCTTTTGTCAGAGCATTCTGTTTGTGCAGCAAAGCTTGTAGGCATGTCGGTTGAAGCAGGTAGCAATTCGTTGGATTTGGCTCGAAGAATGGCTAGTTTGAACGCCTCACCAAGTCCGACAACATCCTCTTCAAGCACACCCGATCGAGACCTCACTCTCGGGATTGCTCATGGACGACTTGATCGACCTCGAAAGTCAACCGGTGGGAAAGTGGCGCAGGTTTCTCATCCGCCTGCAAACAAGAGTCCTATGGCACGTGCACGGCATTTGCTTATGGTTGTGTCGGCGGCCGTGGCTGCGCTATGTGCCCTTTCCGTATCCTTCAATCAGCAGCCTGATGCAGTGGCAATTGCAGGCACAAAACATGGTGGCCAATGGAGCGTTGCCCAAGGCTCATTTCCAAAGAGCCCAGACTCTCCAAAGCTTCACGGCCGCAAATTTGAAGGAGTGCATGTGGCTTCGAGACCGCCTCGGTTGGCAGACCTCATTTGTGGAAGATCCCATGCTTCAAGGGATGCTGGCAGCTCGCAGTTCAAAAGGAATCGCCAGCAAGATTCGCCAGGAGGCAGTTTCAGAGGCTCGAGCTGCAGCAGACAAGGCCAAGAAGGAAGGCAAGCAAGCCGATGCAGTTCGGGAGCTGATAGGCCCCAGGGGAGGATTGCCAAGTTTGAAGTCAGATCTCCAAAAGCTTGCATCTCTCGTTCAGGTGGAGTACAACGAGAAGACAACAGTCGAGCAGCTCAAGGCGGCCATTCGACCGGTCGTCAAGTTGATTGCAAGCAAGGATCCACCCTCGGCCAAAAGCAGTTCAGCAAGTTCACACCAGGAGCCTCCAAAGGGTTTGACAACAGCCTCAACTCGTGCTCCGGAGACCCCAGCGTTGGCCGCTCCTTCCACGCCAGGCATGACTGCAGCCTCAAGTCCAATGCCAGGAGTGAAGTTGCAAGACATCCACGACCTACTGGCGCAGCAGGATCAGAAGTTTCAGAGCATGTTGACTCAAGTCATGGGCCACATGATGTCCTTGCAGGGGAATCAAGTTCCGGTGAACCTGCAGACTCAAGGAGCGATGCGCTTCGACATGGCTCAGGACGATGCCGTGATGGACGGGACAGCCCATGGTTGGAGTCAGGAGGAGATCCAAGGAGCCCTTTACACGGAGGAAGAGCTTCGTCAGTTGAATTGGCAAGTGCAGTCCGATCTCAAGCAGGAGGAGGCGGACCTTCTCAGGGGGCCATTCTTTGGAAACACCTCGGGATGAACCCCTGGAGTGTGAATCAGAGTGTGAAGCCAGGCCTTGCTCAAATGATTGGCGACGCTTGGCGAAAACACTGCAAAGATCGTGAGTTGATCTCCCAAAATCATCGTGAGATCAAGCAGGTCATGACGGCAGAGTGGAACCAAAGTATGCACAAATGCTTTCAGGAGAACTTCATCATGCGGGTGGAGGTGTCTTCGAAGGGAGCTGAGGGGTCGACCAGGCGCCAAACAGTTGGGACGGTGGCTCACACCCAACGGCCTCGGGACGACCCCGCCAAAGTGAAGAAAGGTCCAGATAAAGGTTCCACTCAGCCGATTGTTGGGGAGATCTATACAGCTACAGAGCAAGTTGCAAAACAGGCAGCATTGAGAGGACACAAAGTTGCTACATCCATGTCGCTCGAGACCGGCTGGAACTTTTTGAAGAAAGAAGACCGCAATGCATGTCTCCACAAAGTCATGCAGGAAGATCCGTTTTGCCTGGTGTTGGCTTTTCCATGTGGGCCTTGGTCTCCTTTGACAAGGTTGAGGCCCAGTGCAACACTGGAGGAGAGGCGGAAAGAAGGTCGTGTCCTTTTGAATTTTGCCCTGGTCCTTGCTCGGTTGCAATTGAAGAGGAATGCACATTTGATTTTGGAGAACCCCAAATGCTCAATGGCTTGGACGCTGCCCGAGGTCATACAATTCCTTGAGTCAGCAGCTGTTGAATGTGTTGATTTTGATCAGTGTGCATTCCAGCTCAAGAGTGCTTCAGGTTTTCTTCACCGCAAACCCACTCGCATTGCTACTTCGTCTTCATGTGTTGTTGATGAATTGCAAGGCATGCGTTGCAGTCGGAACCACATCCACCAGCCAGTTCTCGGAGGAGCCAAGATCACAAGCAGAGCTGGTCACTACCCGATTGCACTTGCTCGAGCTATTGTTCGAGGCCTTGAGAAACAGTTCCACCTCGACCATGCCAAGTGTCGTGAAGTGTTGGCTGTTGATGGGGCGGAGGAGGAAAAGCCTGAGGAGGAAGGAGGTGCAACCATGGATCCGTATGACACAGAATCAGAGATCTCTTCAGTTGATGAAGATGGTGCACCCGAAGCAAGAGTTTCCTCAGCAGTTCGGCAAGCTGTCAAACGCTTGCATGAGAACACAGGTCACCGTTCAAACCGTCGCTTGGCAAGGGCTTTGGTTTTGTCTGGTGCCCCCAAAGAAGTGATCTTGGCAGCCAAAACGTTGAAATGCAGCCTCTGTGATGAGAAAAGGCGACCCAAAAGCCATCGGCCGACGTCGTTGCCTACGCCCAAAGATGTTTCGGATCAGGTGCACATAGACATTTTTGAGTGTTCAGATATCACAGAGCAGCGTTTTTACATTGTGCATTGCATTGACTGGACCAGCAGGTTCCAAATGGCAGAAGCTTTGGAACACAAAGACTCCGACAGCATTGTTCACTGGTTCCAAGAACGTTGGATGAGCGTGTTTGGGCCTCCAAGGGTCATTGTGGCCGACCAAGGCCGCGAATTCATTTCCTGGGCATTTCAGGAGATGTGTGATCGCCACTCCATCCTTTTGCACCACATTCCCATTCAGGCGCCTTGGTGCAATGGTGTATGTGAGAGAGGTGGAGGCATCTTAAAAGGCCTTTTGGAGTGTTGTGTCAAAAGCCGCTCAGTCGCAGGGTTGTCAGATATGAAGTTGGCTCTACAAGAGTGCACTCTGGCATACAATGCAGACATCAATGAATTAGGAGTCAGTCCAGCTCAAGCTGCTATTGGCCGACAACCCAGGATGATTGGGGATGTGTTGGGCAATTTTGGGCAGAGGCTTGCTGAACATGGTCTAATAGATGGACGCCCGTCGCTGGCGAGGCAAATTGCTTTGAGAGAAACAGCAAAAGTTGCTATGACCAGGCTTCATTTCTCCAAAGGCATTCGTAGAGCCGAGCTTGCACGATCCCGGAGCTCCACCATGTCGCAGCCGCTTGAACCTGGGGACATTGTTTATTTTTGGAGAGAGTCCAAGTACAACTCCAAAACCGCACCTTCGAAGAAGAGGTTGTCCCTGAGGAGATGGCACGGCCCGGCCCTTCTCGTGGCCCTAGAAGGTCATAATGCTGGATATGTGTCCTTCAAGGGACAGCTTTCAAAGTGCGCCAGAGAACATTTGAGGAGCGCCTCGTCGATGGAACAGATTTCTGCAGAGGTCTGGCACGATGCAATACAGGATTGCGTTGAAGCGGCATTGCATGATGTCAAACGACAGAGCTCCGAAGATGTTGGCCCAAACCTTCCACCACCTCCGACGCCTTCAGTGGTAGTTGATCCAAGTCCCTTACCGACAGTGCCTGAACAACACGCAGTGCAAGATGATTTGCCACCTGTTGCCCCAACAGAGTTGTTTCAAGCCCTGGATGGAGGAGGACTGGGTGTTTTAGGAGGAGGGAGTCACTTTGGGAGCGAGCTTCCAGGCAGTGGCAGTTTGAGCAGAAGAGCATCTTCCATGGCAGCTTCCAGTCGCGGGCCCTCGCGACAGATGAGTCATGCTGCACCTGGCACGCCTGTGCCCCCGTTGATCACAGGTGCTAGTCAAGCATCGCCGGTCACTCCACCGTTGAGTTCCCGCTTGTCAGCTTCGTTGGATGCTGCTAGAGAGCTTGACGAGCAGACGGGAGTGAAGAGGCCTTCGGAGGTTGAGTCAGAGCAGCCCCAAAAGATGCTGCGTGAAGATGAAGAGCATTCGGTGTTGGTGGCCACCTCGGTGATTCAGAATGTGCTCAAGACCAAGCGGGCACTTGTTTCCAGGTATGCCAAAGACACTGCAAATCAGTCCGTTCCAGATGTTGAGCAAGCGCCAAAGCAAGATGAGATTTTTGAAAATATCCTCAAGAATGCCACCATGCATCCCTTGAGAGCGATACAACTGCAAGTGGAGAAAGATAAGAAAGCAGATGGCAACCTTGCAGTTCAAGACCATGGCAGCTGGTCAGGCAAGTGGCCTTTGCCTACCCGCACATCGTGGGAGGCGCATGAGATCAGTTGCACTCTTTGGCCTTGTGGAGAACACGAAGTCAATGCAGCCAAGACAGCTCGTCGTGAAGTGAAATGGAAGGACATCCCCATGCATGAGCGAGCTGAATACCGGAAAGCAGCTGAAACCGGTTGGAAAGTTCAGGTTGACAATGGTGCTTTTGAGATTCTTTCAGATGAGGAGTCCGAGCGCATCAAGGCAAAGCTGAGAGCATCCGGTCAGTTGCACAAGATCCTCACACCTCGGTACATCTATACCGACAAGCACGATGGTCTCAGGTCAGACAGCAACCCGTTGCCCTTGTTGGCCAATGCACGTGTGGTCATTCCAGGGTACAAAGATGAAACAGCATACAGTGTCCGCAAAGATGCACCCACAAGTTCTCGCAGTTCGCAACACATGTTGTTCATTGTTGCAGCAGCTCGCAAGTGGTGTTTGTGGTCAGCTGATGTGAAGTCCGCCTTTTTGAAAGGCGAATATTTCCAAGAAGGTGAGCGTGAGCTGTACATTTGCAACATTCGTTGCACCTCTGCTGACGAGCCGATGCTTCCTTTCAGTGCTGGCGGCTTAGCCCGTGTGCGAAAAGGAGTTTTTGGATTAGCAGACAGCCCGAGACGATGGTATCTCCGGTTGAACAAGTCACTTCTTCGCTTGGGATGGCGTCGCAGTGACATGGATGCAGCTCAGTGGTTCCTTTATGGAGTCGATGGCTCCCTACAAGGTATTGTGGTCAGCCACGTCGACGACCTTTTGATGGGAGGCACAGACCTAGCTGGCAAGTCCCTCAGAGCCCTAGGGGATGAGCTTGGGTTCGGATCGCTGGAGACAGGTTGTTTTACGTATTCCGGCAAACAAATCAAGCAGAATGCTGACATGACCATTGAGGTCAGTATGCAGGCCTACCATGAGAACGTGCAGCCCATTGCTGTCCCTGTTCACCGCAAGAAGCAACTTGAAGCAGCACTCACACCTGCCGAGCATCGCCAGTTGAGAGCCATACTGGGAAGCTTACAGTGGTTGGTGGCTCAAGTGAGGTGGGACATGGGATTTCACCTTAGTGTGTTGCAAGGCGAACCTCCAGTTGTCAAGACATTGCTCAAAGCGAATGCCCTGGCCCGTTTGATGAAACAGGATGCTGGATTCAAGCTTCGCTTTGGTCAGATGGACCTACAAGGTGCTGGCATTTTGGTGGTGACAGATGCTTCATTAGGCAATGTCACGAGAGCCGGTGGAGCAGATGGTACATTGTACACCAAGGTGTTCAGTCAGGCCGCTTACCTTGTGTTGGTTGCAGACCGCAACCTCATGAGTGGCAAGCAAGGACGATTCGGAGTGTTGGATGCCCGCAGTCACAGACTCACAAGGGTGTGCCGCTCGACATACGGCGCCGAATTGTTGGGATCAGAGGAATCTCTGGACATTGGGCTCTTCTCCCGAGGATTGCTTGCTGAGGTTCAAGGCTTTAGTGTCTTGAAGGGGGACGAGCAGTACAACAGCTCCATTCCTTTGGGGCTGGTCACAGATGCAAAAGATGTGTACGACAAGAACACATCAGATACGCCAACCTACGGAAGCCAGAAATCATTGGCATTTACAGTGGCTTGGATGCGTGAAGTCCTTCGCAAAGACAAGACGCAGATCCACTGGACTTCGACCGAAAATATGCTGATAGATTGCGGTACAAAAGAGATGAAGTCAGACCATCTCAAAGCAGTGCTGCACCAAGGCACATGGAGCATGACATACAACCCTCGGTTTGTCAAGCAAACCACAAAGCCTTTGAAGGCTGCTGCTCCAAAGGGACTTTCTCTCCCCGGTCGACTTCTGAGCGCTGATGACCCCATGTTGAGCCATTTGATGCGGCTCGCTGAGAGACCCGGCTGGCACTTCCAAGACCCACACGGAATCCACGTGTGTAGGAACGCAAGATCCTTTCGCAGTCCGGCTCCAAGATTTGATGAGAAATCATTTCCCCTCCGAACGACGTACGCTCGATTCGATACCGACCACCAAGCCGAGTGGAGAATCCTGGAGAAGGACGTGAGAGGTGGCAAGATGGACATGCTTGGCGAAACCGCCGATGTCCTGGTCACGTTGTTTGGACCTGAACCCAAACCCCAAAATCAACAAAAAGATAGATCCACTGAAGAATGATGCTTGAGTTTGGGTTGGTTCAGATTGATTGGTGACCGCGGCCTTTTTACCTTACAGGCCTTAAGCCATTTGATGTCGCTACGCATTTTGAGCGGAAAGAGTGCCTTTTGAGCTTTCACACAAAGCAATGAAGTCTTTGTCATGCAGCTTGACACGTCCTTTGGAACAAGCTCTCGACTTATGTCTATTTTGCTGCGCTGGTCAGACTGTCTCAGCCCGTGTTGGTGGTGGCTTCGTCTACCAGACGCAGGTGCAGGTGTGACTGAACGGACGGAGCGCGGTGACGTGGCAGAAGCTGTAAACCAACCAACCGGTTTTGTTTCATGTCTTGCATGGTGCCAGTGTTCAAGCAGGCGGTACAAAAGTATTAACAGAGGAGCTTGTTGGAAGAGAGGGCCGACCAGGGGCGCTCGAGGTCTGACACCAAGACTGCCAGGAAAATCAAGACACGAATAAAGGTGTCAAAGGTCGGCATGTAAAGTTATATGTTTGTTTCCTTGAACACCTTTTTTTTTTTGAGAAATCCCGAACATGATACCTATATATACCTATTATTTGTGGGTCAACAGTGGTCCAACACACCTTGATCCTCTTTTCGCTAGGAATCCATATTTTTGTTTGGGCTGATCGATGGCACAAGGAGCCTTCCAAACGTTACTCGGTAGATGATTGCCTTGCAAACCGGCTGCGGATCATTCCATGGTTGACTTTGTATCTCTTGGTGGCAGAAAACCAAGGGACTCAAGAATCGCTTGCCATTCTTAATTGTATCATATTGTATCTCCTCCTCCAGCTCATGAAAAACTAGCTGTTGGCACCACTGTCCATTTGATAGCCAAGATTGGCCAAACTTGCAAATGGTGAGTGTCTGTCAGACCCCCAAACACTCTTTAAGTGCAAGGACTCGGGGCGAAAAAGGTTCAGACCGTACCAATGAAACAGGGCAATGCCAGCGAATGAATCTAAACAGAATGACACCAATCCCAAACAATACCCCCCAAAAATGTGTTTTCAACGTGCTCATGAAAGGGCCAGACATGGCCTGACCGCTTCCGGGCACATGCTCATTCGGGCAGCACCATCGATGCACGGCGCGCGACTGTCGGCCAGGCACCGAGCACCAAGCAGGCTCCGAGCAGGGCTGCGGAGGCTTGCGAGTGTAAGAAGCGGTGCAAGAACGGGAAGCGGGTTGTTCATGCGTAGCTCAACCAAAAGAGGCAGGAGGGCCCCCTGTCACACCTGTCACACCTGTCACACCTGTTTCATTTGTTTCGTTGTCTCTTTCCTGCTTGTCCAGTTCATGAAAGCCGACCAGACTCCCGGAGTCGCTCGTGACCTGGCCGCTCTTGCTCCGAATGTGAGCCCTGTGCAGGTCGGACGCCCAAGAGAAGCGCCGCCGGCGCCGAAAGCACCGCCACCGCCGCCAGCTCCACTTGAGAGGTCATGGAGGGGAGTTGGGAGAAAGGGACACAGGATCACAGGGAGACCCGAGGAAGGATGGAAACGGGGTTCTTTGCTCAGTTGGCACATCTTTGGCACAGTCAGGTCGAAATGGAAAATTAGCTCCTCCAATTCTTCAAGGGATCCGTTTTCTTTGTGTTCATATAGTGTAACCTTCAGAGATTGTTCATGAACAGGGGGTTTCAGTTTTCTTTCTGCAACACAGGCTGATGGTGATTTGGCGGATACCTTGGCTTTGATGCCCGTGTGAAGGATTGGGTGTTGAAATTCACGTGAAACGCATGTCTGGATCGACTTGGAATCTGTTAAGTGGCATGTCGTTTATGGTTCAAGCTTCCGAAACTGACTGAGGTGATGGTTGCGTTGTTCAAGGGGCTAGTGGCTAGTGGATGCTAGTGGTATTTGCGAGCTTTGTGGTGGAGTGCACATCCTTTTAGAAGGCAGCATCCATCCATCGCAAGGTCTTGTAGAGGTCGGACGAAGCGTCTGGTCGAAGCAGAATCAATCAGTCGCATCGCCTCGCCGCTTCGCGTCGCATCGCCGCCGGGTCGTCGTCCCCTACTTTCGACAGAGAAAATCCACCCGATCCGTCTGGAGGCGCTGGTCCTTCTGATGGCTTTCTGTACAGACACGTCCCAGCAGTCGCGGGCGGCATCGCTTCAACGAGGAGAGCCCTAAAAGTAGATGGGGCGGCCGCCGGGCGGTCGCGGTTTTCCTTTTTTAGGTTCCCAAAGGTCATGGAGGCCTAGAAACAGAAAGGGTGAATCCATGTGAATGTCTTTTCTTCGCTTCAATTCAGCGGTCTTAATAGATGTTTCAAAGATGGTTTGTGTTTTGTGCGGTTGCGCCTTGTATCAGCATGATACCATGGTTTGTCTTGTCTTGGCCTCAGATTGAAGACATTTCAAGACAGGACCACAGGATAGACTAGAGAGGAAAAAGTAAGGTAGCCTCCCAGAGGCCCAGTGAACTGAACACCGTTCATCCTCCAACGTCCATCCGTTCATTCGCACCCATTGGCTAGCACCCAGTCGACTCCAGTGGACTCCAGTGGACCAGAAATGGTGTTTAGCCGTTGATGTGTGCCAACTCTGACCCGCATGTACAAGTGCTGATTTTGTAGGCTCAGGTCTGTCAAGATGGCAGACTGTTTTCCAGCGACGAAAGGTACCGTAGTTCGGATCTCTCCCCGGGCGTGAAAACACCGGGGGCCATGCACCTAGAGGAGACTCCAAGTATTATGTTTTATATTTATATTTGTATATTAAATATTGGTAAGCATTCTTATTTATAAATATAATTATCTATATAGTTAAGTTATATTTCTTATCCACACTTCGTGAGGATTTTGCCAAGAGCCTGCAAGGAATCACATTGGTGTGACGGCCCCCTGCCTCAAGGAATTGCATGTTTGTCGTTCAGTCCTTCAGTGCGATTAGATGCTCCAGGGTGCATGCAATGGAGGGTCTCACATTTGGAGTCTGGGTCAATTCAGTGATTCTGCCAACTCACAATTTACAATTGAACACCGTCAACAGCCATCAACCAAACAATTTAAAAACCAAAGTTCTGACCACCGCCAGAATTTACGGCAACCAGAATCGTGTTGACCCAGGCCCATGAATGCTTGCATGCTTGCATGGCGGACGAGCACGACTCCACCACACTACAAAGAACAGCAAAACAATACATGAGCTAGGCTTAAATTAGAGAAAGTGACGAATAGTCAGTGAGTGGTCATGGGAGTTCAAAATGCATGTTTTGCAGTCGCTCACAGGTCACATCGAATTGGGTCAGACTATATCAAATTCTTTGCCTTTGTTATCAACTGTTCCCGAACTTCCGCTTGCTATGAAAGTGGATGCTCCGCTCAACGCGCCAACAATGGCATCCGACACAACTCGTGGGCACAAAGACCCTGAAGAGATGCATCTCGTGCGCCGGAACAAAAGCAGCTTGGTCCGCTGTGCAATTGTGTGTGTGTGTTGTGTGTGTCATTCTCGACGTTCCTGAGCAAATAGGCGCCGGTATGCATTCCTGAATGATTTTGCCATGTTTGGAACACCATCCCTGGGCGTTTCTCCAACGTCCTGGATGGAACTGATCACAGGTGGCATCAGCAGTCGCCAGCTCAGTGGGCTCAGTCGGTGAAGAAAGCACCATTTGGGCCTTGGCGCGGGTGGGGCTTAATACCGGTGATGTCCACAGAAGTTCAGGCTGCCGATTTTGGAAATCATTTCTGAAGAGATGTTTTCAGAATCCAGTCGCTTTCCAGATGTTGGTTGTGAGAGAGCCACCTTCTTTGGCCAACTAAAGAGGATCCCTCCACAGTCGGTGTTTGAAGATGTTTGAAGCCATTCAGAGTTGCATGATGGTGGGCTGGGGAGTGGAACTGCTCCATGTTGGTCCGCGCTTTTTGGTCCTTTCTCCATCTCCATCTCTTTCCCGATCTCAATAGGAGAAACCCAGGGTCATCTTCATGGTGAGCATATTTTGCGCATGATGGCAGAAAGGAATATGGACTGAAGATGACTGAAACATGCTGAAACCCATTGACAGATTCCGTCGTGCCAAATAAAACATACAAAACTGGGACCGCAACACGTCGCATTGCAGAACCAAGTGGGGAGCTCTTGATTGTTTTGAAATTTCGGATTAAGAACAACAACGCACCACTTCTTTCCAATAACCAGTGGACGGACAAGATCATCTTCGCATCTCACAAGAATCGTTCGTCATGCTTCAGATTTGGTCTCGTTCCTCCATTGCAGGCTGCAACGAACACGTGACTCGTTTGACCACAGATATCGATGGTTTGGCCATGGAAGCACTGCACTCCTTTGAAGTGAAGAAGCAGGTGAAGGCTGGCCCTGTGTTCGCATGGACGCGAAGGACGAAAGTGTCATGCTTTGGGTGGCCATCCGACAACTGAGATCTGAGTTGTCTTAGCGGGAGCTCAAGGTTCCACATTGAGCATATATATATATACATACTGCAATGATCGTAACAACCAGCCTGAGAGTTCGCTGTCTTCCAACCCGTTTTGAAAAAGAACATGCGTTTGCTACTGGTACACCTCACAGGATAGTTGGGCCAGTTAGTAGGTGCTTTTTTGAGCCGATATTCCAGGTTGGAGAAGATGTCTATGTCTTCAGGCAGGGGAGATATTTCTCAGTTGGTTGAGCTATAGATCGGTGGGTAGGAGGGGGTGACAGGGGTGTCGGTTGAGTTGGAAACCAAGTGACAGGCCTAGTGGTCAAGACAGTGTCTGCTGGATGTCTGTATTAAGAATGATCACAGCAATGGGGAGATGGATGTGTTTAAAAGTATGGTCCTTGCAGGCAGACTTAACCCAAATGGATTCATTAGGCCCATAAAAACAGCTCATTTGGGAGGGACACAAGGTGCGTTCACTGCTGAACCTACTAGCTAATTTGCTTGGTTTGGCTGTGCATCCGCCACTCACCACTGTGAGACGTGGATGTACACGAAATCCACCGCATGGGTTCAGGATATTCAAGTTCGCGGGTGTCAGCACTGAAAACCAACACTTCAAACTTCAAACCCCGGCAAATGAATTTGGTGACAGATGTATGGATGCATATGATATCATATGATATGATGCATAACATCGGGGATCCAGTGTATTTTTTGGGCAATTCTGTTTGCATCACCTTCTTGTCAGGCTGGGTTGCAGCTGTGACTGCAGCAGCCTGGCCGCCCAGCCGGCAAGAATTGGATCACAACTCTGGCTGGGGCTGGGTGGATCTGTGACCCAAGGGACATTGGATCGGCCAAACGAAAAATGATGTCTGAAGTCTGAAGGATTTGGTTAAAACGAAACAGCACCAAACGAGTGCTGTTCTTTGGACTTTAGGAAGACCAATCACAAATCCATCCATCTACTTTCATTTGGAAAAGGGCAATCTTTCTGTGGTCCAAGTCTAACACACACACACACACAAAGAAAAGCCATGCCAGGTGGCCACTTCGGAGCATGATCTGTGCATTTTGGATCCAGAAACCCTGAAGCCGATGCTTGGCTGATGTTCTCTTTGGATGGGACGCAGGTCAGCACATTGGGGTGGGTTATGGATGGTTGTGGCCCATGGGTCATTGAGTCAATTGAGTGGGGAGATTGAGTCATGGGTACTGTATCTTCCAATCTCTGGGGACATTTTCACAAGCTGAGCTGAGTGCCCCCCCCTGAATGACCAGTAATGACGAGGGAACATGTCCGCAAGTATGACGCAGCAAAGCCCAGGGGTCCTGGAGATCCTGGTGTGGACTAAGGCGACCCCTGAAAGGCAAAGCTGGAGAAGGGATCTCTTCTGAGTGGAAACCATCTTATGTAATTTATACATATGCATTTCTGGACTCAAGATGACTCAAGTCAAGATGGTTTCCATTGATTTCCCACTTGCATTCAGTGAGAAATACTTCAGGTCAATGCTGGAGACGAAGAGAATTTGGACTCGCCGACATCAGGGACATGGATGTTCATTCCCGAATCAGGAAGCTAAACCAAAAGCAGCTCCGGGTTTGGGTGGTCAACTTGGTTCTGGGCCCCAGATAGATGGAAAACACACAGCCCGACATCGAACTCTTGGTTCTTTCTTTGGTGTTTCAACCTTTCAGCGGCATCTCCCCGGAGGTGGGGCGACTTGGGTCGGGGGGTAGGGGCTACTCTCGTGCGTCCGAGAGTTCCTTTTCCGTGGGGTTCGGAGTCTCATGTCGTAGAGTTTGCCATGGTGCGCCAACATCTGTATGTAAAAACATACACATGAAAATCACATGAAATCACACGAATCTTATGTGTAAGCGTATGCGTATATGTACACATATATATATACACATATGAATGCACTTATGTACATACATTGTTATCATTGTTTGGGCTGTCACTGTATACGCATAGGCCCTTTGGTTTCTCCTGCCTGGGAGTTGGGAGCAATCTCACGCAATCTCTGCGGTTCTCTCAGGATTCGTCGCTTGCAGGGCAGCTCGGCTTCAGACATTCGACCAAGCAGGGAATCAGGAGTGATCAACGGAATCCATTCAGGCTAAAATGCACAAGACTCGCGAATCAACTGGGACACTCGCAGGGAACCTCCCGTCGTCCCAATCCGTAGACGATTCAAAGGAACATTCGAACCAAGGCAGCAGGTGATCGTTCTGGTCTCCCCCAGCAACAGCCAGTTGACCATTTTCGATGTGACATGATGTGGCTTCGGAGCAAAACTTGAAGATTTGGGGGTTTCACCCCCCAATCATGTGTTTCATGGTCCTTGCCACTTGGTTGTGGTGGGTTAAATTGGACTTCTTATCCACTTGGACTTCACCCATCTTGGGCCCTTGTGATCTGAACCCGACGCGACGTCCCGTCGACCCAGCGGCGACGTCGACCTGCGTCCTGCTTGTCTCGAAGCCGCAGGCCACAGCGATGCGGTCGAAGACCTGGGCTACTTCCAGGCGAACTCACCGAGGTGAACAGGTGAAAACAGGTGACCTGACCACCCGTGACACGTCCCGTGACGGTCCAGACAGCGTCTTCGAAACAGAGGTCAGCCAGGAGCCCTAAGAAACATGTCTTGCGGTGAAGGCTGTGAACGGTACAGTCACTTGGGTGGTGCTCCCATGTGACCTGATTGAAGAATCATGGGTCTCGTCTATTTGCAGGAGGACACTCTTGATTTGAAACATTTTACAACTGTGAGATTCGCTGTGCTTTTGCTTGTCTGAGCGGAGCCTTGCAAAGCCAGTTAGGCGGAGCCTTCCTGCTTGGCGAGTTGCTCCCATGATGGAACTGCTCGGGTTGGGCGTTCAGGGGGGCTGGATGGGTTTCTTTTGCCTTCCTTCCACACCCAGGGCCCATGTTGATCTTTTTTGCAATTCCAACCCAGGTGTCCAAGCCATGATCCCCAGTGGCACCTGTTGAACCTGAGTTCAAGGGCCGAGGAACTGGATCAAACCTCTATGGGGGGATTTTTCATCCCATCTTGAGAATCTCTATGAATCTCTCATGTCTTTTTCAGTCTCGCCAGTTTCGAAGTTGCGACGTTCTTGAGAAGTTGGTCACTCTCAGAGGAAGACGAACAACTCACTTCCGTATCGATGCAACGGCTTCCTTCGATGTGGAATCGATGGCGGTACCGGTACCGTAGACGACGTCTTTGTCCAGTGGGTGGCATGCCAGGGATTCTCCCGGTGGGCCCCTACCCTTAGCATCCCTTGACCTCTCTAATCTGGGTACTCATGATCATTGTGGAACCTCATTCAGAGTATGCCTTCCAAGACAAATCTGTCTACCGGAGGGCACTCAGGGCAACCCAGCTAGATTTTGCTAGAAACAAGGCACAAAAGAATCCAAGACCAGGGCAAAGGCAATGAGACTCACTCTATTGGTACACTAGTTGGTTGGAGGCCATCGCTACTATTTTCGAGGCCATCGCTAGTAGGTTGGAGGCCATCGCTCTTAGGTTGAAGGCCATTGCTAGTAGGTTCCTTAAAGTTTTTTTTTTACGTCCGAAACTCCATGTGAGTCCCTTGATGGTCTTCAAAAGCACCCCACTCTCTCCTGCCGAGGGGCACCCCGGTGGCAGGTCTGGGACCTCCGTGCCGCAGAGGCGGCACGGAGCTTTTCGGTGGCCAGCCGAGAGGCGCGTTTCCGTGGTCAGAGCACGGTGAGAAGAGGTTATATTTACATCTAGGGCCCAATGAAGGGAAGTGGAACTCCTACCTCTAAAACGTCCCAGTTTGGTGTGCCACCCCGGCGTTCTTTGTTTCCACTGCACAGCTCGACTCATGGAATGAATGGGGGGCAATGGCCGCACCTCAGCAACACGATCCGATAGCCCGGTTGTCTTCCTTTGAACCAGAATCGGTGGTCTCCTCAAATTTGAAGCACCAAAGGAACCTCATCTACAAACCGCAATTTCTACACCTCGCGATGGTGTCGGTTGGGTCCCAGATATATCCCCTGGTAAAAAAAACCCAATGTCAAAGTGTATGGTTTTCTCACATTGTGTCCACCAGACTTGAGTGGGGTTGTGGGAGGTGAAACCCTGAACCGGTGTCAGGTAAAACTACTTCTACGATTGTAGTACATCACAAATACGGGTCCACCATCCCACGATTGCGCCCTCACGTCAATACCACTATTCTTTTCTCGCGTAGCGCCTTCGGCGTCTGTTGATAGACGATAGATGCTGCAATTGGCATATGAATACACTGTTCAGAAATTCAAAAATCAAATGAATCTTCCATCATCTCGTTGAGTTCATCGTCATCCGGCCACAAGAGATCTTCCGCTGCAGCCGCTGCTGTCTCTGAGATCCTATGGGCCTTGAAGGCGTCCGCTCCGGACGACTCACCCTGTGGCTCCTGATCTGGCCGCAAGATCGCAGCCGCTGCAGCCACTGGTGTATCTGAGATCATATGGGATGCACAGGCGTCCGAATCAGCCTGTGGCTCCTTGCCAGGTAATCCGAGAATACCCAGCCCAAGATCAAGCGCCAGTTGGGAATGCAGTTGTGGAGGGAAACGGAACATGAACAAAGCACAAGATTTAACAGTGCATAATGTTGGAAATATAGCCTCAGCGACAAAACATCAGATGTAACACCGCACAGTGTGGGAAGCAATTTCAGTAACAAAAAACTCAACCTTGAGAAGGGCCATTCCAGCAAAAAAGTAAAGTTGCGAAGGGCCAGGCATTCCAGAAAAACACTTTCCAACTTGGAATTTCCAACAACCAAAACATAACGTTGGGAAGGGCCATTCAAAGGAGATTCAATGAACCTCGCTGACCACCTGCGTTACACACTTTTGGGGGGCAATACACCTCCCTTGTATGGCGCTTCGTAACGTTACGTTGTTACCCTTGCACGTTGCTTCCCTGTCCTTGAACAGCTTGTTTGGGCAGTCAACCCAAACAGTTCTCCGATCAATTGCAGCCTGATGACTGGAATGAAAATACTCTGGGGGCCAAAACTGTGGGACTTCATGGTTTGTAGTGAAGATCCTTGGCGTTTGCGCTGGAATGTGTCCGTCAGAGCAACGGTTGTGCACATCGCGTGCGTGAGTCACATCGCACCAAGCTTTCGCATCATCAATGCTCACTGTCCTGAAACAAGCCTCATCGACAACAAGTCCCTCACCTGGGTGCACGGTGATCTTATGCATCTGATCAAGCTTGCTGACAAAGTGGATGCCAGCGCGGCATGTGGACAAAAGCACGGATATAGCCATTTCAGTCTTCCCAGTCCCAGGCGGACCACGCAGGATTAAGGTATGGGTGAGGGATTGGGTCTCCTTCCACTGCAGGACCCGTGGAGGTACATCAAAGTGCTCCAAAGGAAAGCGTGGTGAGGTGATAAGAGTTGAAGCCCCCAAGGTTTCAGGTCGGTGCCACGCAGCCAAGATTTTCTGCACTTCCGCAGCTGGATCCCGAAGCTGCCCCACATGGTCCCAAACCAAAGAGTTGCCACGCATCTTTTCCTCTTTGGCGGCCTGGCGATGAGAGGGAATTATAAACAAAGCACTTTGGGCATGACCACAAAACCCGCGGCATCCCCAACGAAGTGATTGGACCAAACATTGGACTGCCTATGATGCACCTTGTCGTTCCAACCGCGTTGTTTCTACCAAGGAGGATGCTTATCTAAGACTGATATTACGCTTGATGGAAAACAGTCTCCAGATTGTATGTGTGCCAGGCCTTCCATAGCTCTGCCACTGTTGAAATCTTCCTTTCGACAACAAAGTCTGTAAGCTCGCTAAAAGACATGCGCCGGCGTCGTTTCTGCAAGGCCTCCGACGGACCTTTCTGCAGCCCCTCATTCTTCTTTCTGCCAGCCACCTGCGAGGACATCCCTGCAAGCTCGCCATCAGCTTTCTGCTTGGTGTAACTTGACGGATAAAACACAAGGTCACGGTCTAAATCATGCGCTGGTTTCTTTGCGCTCTCCATCATCAGGTAATCCAGATAGGCGCACCAGCCCGCGCGATGAAATGTGAAGAATCCATGGTACCCAAACTCTTCGGCCAACAGCTTGCGAACGCCAGCGTGCACAAACGGAGCTCGAAACAGAAAGATGAGGTGTTTGTGTCTTTCCCGAGAAGCACCATCGGGCTGGTAATGCTTGTGCGGTTCATCCGCCACGGCAGCCTTCACAAGATTGTGCAAGTAACCTTTGCTCTTCAGCGCTTTTGTGAAGGCCTCCAACAGTTTCTCCTTGGAAACATCACAAGGCTTAAGGACCTTTGCTGCTCGTCGATCTTCCAAGTCTTGGAAAAAATGCCGCGGACATGGCCAAGTAAACATACCAGCATATGCCCTCGCTTTAGCTGGTGCATTCTCAGCCTCTGTGGAAGTGTCGCTGTTGCCCAAAGTCACAGATGGTTTTTCCTCCTCATGGCTTGATGAAGAGGACGAAGAGGACGAAGCGGGCGAAGCGGATCCGGAGGACTTCGACGTGGCCATGGCCTTGGACATGATTAGTGATGATTTACAGTTGCGTGCATTATATACAACTACCATCATAGAGTCCTAAACTTGGTGCGTTTTGTTTGGCAGGAACCACAGTTTGAGTAAACTAAAAGTGCGCCAAAGCTTGCGCCTTCCACGAAAAATGAAAGCAAAGGTTCACCAAACGCTGCGCCTGCCACAAAACCTGCACTTCGAGGTTCATAAAGTGCTGCGCCTGCCATGAAATCTGCACTTCGAGGTTCACAAGACGCTGCCCCTCCTACGAAATCTGCACTTAGAGGTTGACAAAGTGCTGCGACTGCCACGAACTCTGCACTTCGAGGTTCTCAAAATGCTGCCCCTCCTGCGAAATCTGCACTTTCAGGTTCACGAAATCTCCACTTCGAACTTCGAGGTTCCCAAAATGCTGTGCCTGCCATGAAATCTGCACTTCGAGGTGTACAAAGCGCTGCGCCTGCCACGAAATCTGCACTTTCAGGTGCACAAAGCGCTGCGCCTGCCACGAAATCTCCACTTGGACGTTCAGAAAGCGCTGCGCCTGCCACGAAATCTGCACCTCGAGGTTCACAAAGCCCTGCGCCTGCCACGACATCGGCACCTCGAGGTTCACAAAGCGCTGCGCCTGTCACGAAATCTCCACTTTCAGCACAGCCAGCGCGGCCAAAATCGGAGTACTCCCCACACGAAAACGCAAATCATAACGTTGGAATCCAACGTTACGATCCGTTTTCGGCGACAGTTTCACAAAAAAGTGCAAATCATAACGTTGGACTCGGTTCAAAAAAGAGAATTACTATAATCTTTTTCAAACGCGTCCAACGTTACGATTTCGACTTTTGTCCCACGCCTGCCACGTAAAACGAGCATAACGTTGGATTCCAACGTTACGCTTCAGCGTCTGGCCACACGTTGGGCCACCTGGAGCTTCAAATTCCGTGCGCCGGCCACGAAACATGAAAGCAGGTTTTCACCAAACGCTGCGCCTGCCACCAAAAATCGAACTAGAAGTTTAAGAAATGCTGTGCTTGCCACGAAAAATGGAACAAGAAGTTCACTAAATGCTGCGCCTGCCACGACAAATGGCAACAGAGGTTCACCAAAAGCTGCGCCTGCCACGAAAAGTGGAACTAAAGTTTACCAAACGCTGCGCCTGCCCCGAAAAATCGAATCAGAGGTTCAACAAATGCTGCGCCTGCCACGAAAAGTGGAACTAGAAGCTTACCAAATGCTGCGCTTGCCGCAAAAAATGGAAACAGAGGTTCACCAAATGCTGCACCTGCCACGAAAAGTGGAGCTAGAAGTTTAACAAACGCTGCGCCTGCCCCGAAAAATCGAATCAGAGGTTCACCAAATGCTGCGCATGCCACGCAAAGAGGTCCCCTGTGCGTGCCACGAACACTGATTCCACAAGTAGCGCACGCATTGACGGTACCTATGGGACACTATGCAAGAGGTTAAAGGAAATGAGTGTGTTTTTGCATTTTCTACACATCACTTGTGACACTGCGGTTCCTCTTCGACTATTGAGTGAAAAATGGAAGTTCTCTGTTTTGAGATGGAGCTGATCATTTCAATATGTTGTGACTGAGCCACATGATGATCGAATCAGACAGAGGTTCAGCAAGGTGACGGCTTCCAAGCTCTGTTCCTGAGGTCGCCCGGCGCGCAAAAGCACGCTCGAACGCAACTTCCAAACTCCCCCAAAGTGCGGACACCGCACGGCACTGAGAAGGCCGAGGTTAATGCGAATGAAAGTTTGGATCCATGTGTCCAGTGTGCATATCAATCGGACCCCAGCAGCCGAAAACCGAAACCATGGGGGTATCTAACACTGAAGGCAACGCCAACATGCCCCACCGCGTCGCCCAACACGCCGAGCGGCCACCTGCATGACAAACGCCGCAAGGTCCAAGCCGAAGGTCAAAGCCTGCA